ACCATTACGTATTACGATTATCACACTAAAAATAACAATTAGAGGTCTATGCTCAGGTGAATACATAACCCATGATTTGGCACCCAAGTACAATTTGTATTATGATGTAAATGGCAATATGATTCATCTAAGAATACTTCCGGTCTAAAAGAAACATTATTTTGCCTCTGCAAATTTTCAAAATAATACCGTAAATGATGACCGCGAAATGTAATATTTTGAGAAGATTCATGCAATATATTTTGACATTCATCTTGACCAAAATAATATTCAAGCTTGTGAAGTATACGAAGTAACTGCTATTTTGAAAGTGTATAGCCATTTTCTTCAAGCTTCTGTCGCAAATTATTTGTTGAAAATAGCAAGTTAGAATGGTTAGAAGAGATACGTATAACTTTAACAATATTGTCATTAAGTTTTTTTTTTGGTCTTTCATATATTTTTTGCGGTAACTGTTTATCATTTTTATCTTTATTGTACTCGAAAATTACCTGCGCAACTGTTACCTCTTCAATTCTAAGGGCCGTAGCAACCTCCTTGCGTAGTGGTAAATCTTGATGCTTCTTCTTACTCTGTCAGATATCAAAAAAGTATTGATGAATACGAATGATCATCTTTTTTTCATTACTAGTCAAGTAGTTTTGGTCTTATTTTAAGTCGTCTATTTGAAAAGAAAGGCAGTTAAATTTTTTTTTATTTTAAAGTTTAGAATCATCCTTACCTTATCTGTAATTTATATAATCATATGTTCGGTTTGTGAAGTTTTGTATAACATAAGAAAATCAGGTAATGATCTTCATATATCAATCTTTTTGCATCAGATCATATTTATTAATTAACAATTTTTAAAATTAAAAATCAAGTACAAATATTTGTAATTTATTGCTAATTATATTTTAATTTAAATAATCTTAAATAGTAGTAAATTATAAATAAATTTACTTTTATTATTATTGAATAAAAAGTAAATGATATATTTTAAAAATTTAAAAATTTATTAGTTCAGAATGAAAATGAAGGACTATTAAATACTATATAACTTAATAAATTTATCAGTCAGTCTATTCACTTGTTATTTGAGTTAATGTGATTTTGTTTACTATATTTGTCTATTATGCACATAATTGTATATCTTTTTGCTGATTGATTAAACCATTTATGATTATTCTATATTTATCACTCTAAATTTCCTAACAGTTTCTATTACTTAGTATATTAAATACTAGTAAGACTTAATAATATTTAAAAATTAAACTTAATTTAACTAAATATATTTATTATAAATAAATAATTTATTAAAATTAAAATTTTTTAGATATTATCTTTTTTATTATTAAATATAAAAAATTTCTAAGTTTATATAGAGTATATATATCTAAATTATAAACAAATATATTTATTACTGATTAAATTCTTTCGTCTTAGTTTTACTATTTATTTCAGGAGGTTTAGTTTAATTAATTGACCAACAGATATATTTTACCAACTCTTAAATTAATAAATATTATTTTATTAACATAATTATTTTATCGATAAGTTATTTTACTAAAAAATATAAAATTTTCTTGTTCAAACTACTGAATAAAAAATAAAAAATATTTAAAATTTTATTATTTATCAGTAAAATAACCTATCAGTAAAATAACCATATCAGTAAAATGATAGTTGATAATCCAAGTATATCGATAAAATGTATCTGTTAGCTAAATGATTATTAATTAAATAATTATTAGTAAAATGATGGTTAGTAAGTGAAATGCGATTTATTTTAGGAACTTAGATTTTTTTAATAAAAATTTATTATTTTCAAATCTTATCTGTCACATAATTAATTTCTTAATTTCTTAATACTAACAAAAAATAATGTTAATGCTAGTTATATCATGTGGCCTTGATACATACACCTATATACAAATAAAAATTATTTTTAATTATTATAACACATTTTAATTATCTTAATATATTTAAATTTGATAAATTAAAATTAATTTTTTAAAATTTATATATTTTAGTACTAATTAATTTTAATGATATCAAAATTAATTATATTAATTCTATATTTATTATAAATTATTACATTTGTCAAATATAATTCATCTATTAAAATTATTAAAATACAATTTAATTAGTAATTTGTCAATTTATGTTAAAGTATAAAATTTAAATTTTATACTAAAAATAAAAACTATTTTAGTTTAAAGTATAATTATAAAATTATAGAAATTAATTTTAAGAAAATTTCTTAGTAAATACAGGATGTATGAAATAAAGTTCATATAATATATATAAACTTATATAAAGATATATTTAATTTAGAAATAGTTAGTATTAGTATACAGATTAGATTGTTATTTATTATATTGCATTACATCCTATTTATGTTTTATTTTTACTAATTAATCTAAAAATTCAAAAAATTTTTTATCCCTTTGTCTGTAATGCAGGCAAATTTACCTGTAAACTTTTTTAGATTTAAATTATTATATGAAAATGTATTAAATTAGCAAAAATTATCAAAATATAACATTACGACTTATCATCTACAATGCATTCAAATTTGGCTACAGAATTTAATATATTCACGTTTTTATGCAAGAAGCAAATCATTTGTATCACAAATAGCTCGCAGACAAATTTGCCTGCAAATCTTTAATTTGATACAATTTAAGTAATATAATACAAAATTGTAGGTAAATTTACTTGTGAATAGTACAAACTTAAGCCACTAAGTTTTTTCAATTTTTTCTAATGAAATTAATTCTCTCTTTGTGAAAATCCAACTTTTTTCCTATGAAAATCAATTTCCTCTTATGATAATCCAATTTTTTTTCTATGAAATCCAAATTCTTTCTTATGAAAACCAATTTTTTCTTTATGAAAATCTAATTTTTTTCTTATGAAAATTCAATAGCAATTCAAATTTTTTGGCGATAATATTCATTAAAATATACTTTAAATTTCAGATTTTTGTATTAAAATTACTAAGAATGATACAACAATGTAGATTATTTAATCTAAATCAGGAAATTATCAATGTTGAGTATTTTATCTTTATTAACATAATATCAGAAATTGAAAAAAATATTGAAGAAAATTTTGATAATTATATTTGTTAGTTCACATGAAAATGAGATTGTTTAGATGAGGTAAATTATGATGATGAGGATAATAGAAACAAGTCTAATGCTAATAAAAGAAAACAAAAAAAGAATGATAATGATAAAGTTTCAGAACTTCCTTTAGAATATACACCTATTTAACATAATTACTATGATTCAGATTTAACTTTACCAAATTCCTTTCAACCTAAAAATCTCACTTCATATATAATCTTTTCAGAATTTACTCAACGTAATTAGCTATTTAATCAGACTTGATCACTCTTATTTTTCTGGTTGTTAGACACATCTATCATAAATTCTTATTTAATTTATAAAAAATTAGAAATAACAAAAAATCACAAAAGTTTTAGACTGGATTTAATTTATGATCTAATTAAAGATTCAATTAACGATGATAATTCTTTTAAAAGAGTAACTTATAGTGGCAAAAATAGATAAGCAAACTCAATTGATATAAACAAAAATAGGTTTAAAAAAATCTGGGTTTCTAGTTCATTCAAATTACCAGTATGCAGATTAGTTAATAATAATCATTATGTGGAATATAGAGATAATAGAGAGGCTTGTTTGTGATATCAGTATCAGCAAAAAAAAATTAAAGGGTCAACTTTACAGAATCCTCCTCAATTAAATTGTTGGTAACGTTCCACTATATTGTAACAAAAGTTGCTAAACATGTTTTAAAGAATTTCATACTTTTGTTGAAAATTGATTTTTTTGTTACATATTAAACTTAAAAATTGTACTAATGAATTTGAAAAAGTAACAATAAAAAGTATGTAATTTTGATGGATTTACAAACTTCTCTTAAGGTATATATAAATAGCTAAATTTATATTTTGTAAGAAATTTGCAGGCTTAAAGAAAAAATTTTATAATTTTTAAATTTATAAATAATTGAATTACTTTAGCTATAGTAAAAATTTATTTGTACTTATTTGGGTAAAAAAAATACATATTACGAATATAAAATTCAAATTCTAGGCTATTCAAAAATATATAATTTGTAATGGTTTATCTTACCCGTTAAGTTTTCCAATGCAACAAAAAAATTCGGAATTTTTGCAGGCAAATATGCCTGCAAAGGCCTACAGATGAAGGTAAAGAAGCAAATCTTCAAAGCTGAAACTTCTTTAATAAAATCACAAATTTATTTATTATTAACATTTTGTTCTTTTTTAAAGTAATTTAGATCATTTCCATTTTCAAAATTAATCAGAACAATTTAGAAGAAAACGCTTAAAATATTGATAAAACACTTTATTTTGCACCTTCGTGACGAATAACAATATCGTTAAGTTACTTACCTTTTTAGGTAATATAGTTTATATAATTACATGTACATGGGCGCTTTGTAAGTAAAATGTTAATCTTTTCAGCTGTAAAGAACATCTAAATGCTTTCATTTTTTTACCAAATAAACTTTTTAATAACATTTATATAGTTAGACTCCTTCTTTAATGAAATCGATACAAACCTACAGACAATGAACTTGCAAAAATACAATAAAGATTACCTTCATATGCAGAAATATGGGATCAAATCATTCGATATCATGATACACCTGGTACAACGATTTTTTTAACGCCTCATTTTTATTTTAATTATAATAAGCATCAAATAAAATTCCGGAATTTCGAGCGTTTTGATTGATGAATTTTATATTATTATATAGTATCTTTTAAAAAAAAAAAGGGGGGGGAAGATCTTTTAATATAAAAAATTAATAAAAGTTCTACATAAAAAAAAAAGGAGAGCAAATATTATATAAAAACGATAATAATAATAATAATAATAAATTACATAAAACTATAATTCAACATTGTAATAGAATTAATCTTTTTTTTTGATTGGGATATAAATATGTGTTGTTATATTTTATGGCAATGAATTAGCTTCCCGATTTTCTTGTATCAAAGCGCAACAACTGCAGCAAAAATGAGTACAAAAATCTCCCAATCCAGTTCCCTAGAAAAAGAGAGACAAAAAAGAAATTATTTTTTATTTCCCCACTTGAAGAATCTTTTTTTAAAAAAAAATAAAAGTATCCTTACTTCAATTTGATACCTATTTCTCGCTTCATTACGAGTCATTGCACCCAGAAGACAACCTAAGCCAAGGCAATATTCAACACAACAAAATATCAAAGCATGAGTTGCACATGAACCTGGACTGTTTGATATTTTTTCTTTGTTTTCTCCCTATAAATTATAAAAGAAATGAGAATTTGAATTTGAATTTGTATGATTTTAAAAAAAGTGCTTAAATAATATCGACTTACGTAAGTTATGCAAGGACAACACCACGTTTTTAAACCTAATGTGAAAGAGAAAAGTTAAAATTTTGTTAAATTTATTGAATTATATTTCAATGTTAAAGGAAAAAAAAAATTATGATAATTACACAACGAGGAATCTGCAAAGCAATCAAATAAGCCAAATCTCCATTCTCTTCTTGCTTCTTTAGTAATCATAACTTGAGGATTCATTTGGTTTGTGGCAGCATACATTATGGGCTGTTGAGGTGGAAATTGTGGAGGAATACCACCTTGAACATATACACCTTGTTGTTCTGGGGGAATACCCTGCTGTTTGGGGACAAACATTTGCTGTTGTTGAGGGAATCCTTGCTGTTGTGAAGGGAATCCTTGCTGTGGAAAATATCCTTGTGGAGATAATTCTTGTTGCTGTGGAGGTAATCCCTTTTGCTGTTGAGGTAATCCCTGTTGCTGTTGAGGTAATCCCCGTTGCTGTTGAGGTAATCCCTGTTGCTGTTGAGGTAATCCCTGTTGCTGTTGAGGGAATCCTTGTTGCTGTTGAGGGAATCCTTGTTGCTGTTGAGGGAATCCTTGTTGTTGATATTGAGGTGGATTATTATAAGACATATTTGCCATTATTATTAAATTTAAAATATTTCGTAAAATTTATATATATAAAAAAGAGAGAGAGAGAGAGAGCATGCGCTTTCCTTGATGAAATAACAAAAACATAAGTGAAAAGGAAAGACTTTATATAATTATCATTTTTTGTGAAACGCGAGTTTTCCAATAAACTTGTTTCATCGCATCGCATTGTAAACTCCGTTGTTAGCAATCTTTTTTTTTCAAAATGAGGTTTAGTCAAACAAATAGTAATTTTTTAACATGTCGTACAACTTGTCTGCATTAGTCGGTGGTGGCGCAGTGACCTGGAATGACCATTTAAAATCACGAATTATTTCTTTGTAACATTCCAAAAAAAAAAAAAGATATTTTTTTCAAGTCTAAAGATCAACGTTACTATGTCCCATAACTCCAACCTAACCTCAATTGTGAAATGATCCATTTATCTAAAAAGTAAATATTATAAAGGATGTGTCCATATGGAAGGAGGTTGTTTATTTATGATGTGATGCAATCCCACTTCTAAGAGAAATCTGAAGTAATACGAAAAAAATTTGTGAACAAACAAGAACAAAGGTATAGTGACCTTTCCAGTTAAACCATATCCAGAAAAAATTTTACCCGTTGAACCCAAAATTTGAAAATCTTTTAAAAATCTTACAACTCACATATATTTTAATCAATCATTTCCTTTTTACAATGTTTTAAATTTTCAAACATTTAATTCCGTAAGGATGGTCATAGCATTAGTAAAGCTGAGTCCAAAATATATTAAATGAAAAAGGAGAACCATATCGGTCAATTAACAATATAATCACAATATATAATTATGCACCATTATTTTGTTCATACAAATATAAATCCCGAAATTAAAAAAAATTTAGGTAACCATGCTTACCCGTTCTTGGACTTCAAATGAACATTCATTTTTTTTAAAAAAAAAACTTACTATAGTGTAATCAAATAATTGTTTTAAATTAAAGAACGCGCGCTTTACCGAATGGGACTCAAATGGGTAAACATTTAAGCACTTTCCTCTCCAATAGAATGTTATATATTTGATCCCATATTTAGTTTTTAATATTCTTACAATACGATTAAAACTTTCATTATCATTATCGTTATTAAATGTTTTCATTATAATATATTATTAAGTTTTTTTATTATTAGTTGTAGACAAACATGTCTAGATAATACTGTTTATAATACATTCAATAGCTACTTATGATTCCTTGGTCTGATTTTGACTTTTAATTCTTCACAAACATTTAACATATTTTCATAATTAATTTGAAGTTCTTCTTGGTCCACCAAAATAACATCATACTTTCTCAAAAACATGACCACCATGGTTTTAAGCATTATCATGGCCAAATCTTTAGCAGGACAAGACCTTAATCCCATACCAAATGCGAACAAAATTCTCCTTTCAAGTTCTTCCTTGATAAAGTGATATTCCTTCTTATTTAATTCTTTTTCCTTTTCTAAATATAAAAACCTTTCGGGATTAAACTCGTCAGGATTTTTCCAGTCGTATTTGTGATTATGTATAGCATGCAGATTGATATAAAACATTTGACCAAGGTTCCATGTAAATCCACCAACATTATCTTTTTCATTTAACACCCTTGAAATTAATGGGTGTACGGAATGTATCCTTAATACTTCTTTAATTACCGCTTCGCAAAAATACAATTTACCTATCATAAAATATGTGAACGTATCGTGATTATTTCCCAAGATTGAATCGATTTCTTCAATCATGCGGTATTTTATTGTTGGATATTTACATATATAATAGATGATATAATTAAATGAATTTGAGACCTAAATGATGGATATAAGTTAGCAAAAACTAAATATCAAAAAATTTTTAAGGGGGTGGGAAGGTCCTTGCCTTGTCTATTCCTCCATGTATTATATTCTTCATGATGAAAACGATTTCATCATCTGTTAACGTGCGTTCGTTTCCACTTTTCATGTCGGTTGGATGTGAAGTTCCAAAATTAATTAATGAGGTTAATAAATCGACCTTTAAATCTGGTTCTTTCGGTGAACTTGAAATTTCGAATCGACGTGTTTGTACAATTTTTAATAACGTTTCATAAAGCCACCAATAATCCTTAAAGTATTTTCTGTTATATAACTTATAAACTGATCCCAAACGTAAAGGAGAAGGTTAAATTAGAAATCCTTTCTTTTTTTACAATTTAGGTGAACAAGTGAAAAATTTGACGTTACCTAGAAAGAATTTTTCAACCCACTTGGGTAAACCAATTAATACAAAATTAAACTGATCTAATAACCATAAACTATTTTTAAATTTATTAATAAATTGATTGCTATCATTTAAATGACATTTGATTCCCTTTAATCTCTTTTCTTCATCCTTTGTAATTTGATTAAAATAATCTGCCATTGAAAATGATTTCTTCCTTGTAATTGATTGCAGAAATATGTCAAACGTAAACCTGTTCATCCATTTTGATATATCAATAATTTTGTCCCCATTTCTTTTGTCGTCTTTTGTTTTTTCATTTGAAAGTGAATTTTGATCATTTGAATTTTTGATTTCGGATTCGGTCATTTCCATATCATTCCAATAATCTTCTAATTCCTTAAATTGTTCTTGAAGTTCCATTACGATCCCTTTTAAAAATTTAGGAAACGTGACACTCCTGATCAAGGCATTCCTATGAAATTTCCAAGAACTATATTCATGATTATGATAAATCCCCATTTCATTAATTTTTAATTCCTTAATTTCATTTTTATGTTTTAATTGAAAATAATTATATGTCAAATTTTCATGATTCCCTTCTTTTTGATTAAATGTGGTAAGGTTGACGTTCGTTACGCCGGTATTTAAAAATTTTTCCGCCAAATCGATTCGATTAATCCAAATAATCCTTTCATTGAAGGAGTAGGTTTCGAAAATATCCCCATATCGAAAACTTAATTCCTTTATAAATTCATTGGAAATTTTTTTATCATTACCTTTCCAAAAAAATTTAAAATGACATAAATTACCAATCAATGGTAAGGGGAGCGGTCCAGGTAAAGGATTTTCTCTCTTGGAATACCTATTATAATAATAAATCGTATAGATGCTTAAAAAAAAAATCGTAATTAAACACATTTTTTTTTTTTTGTTTGTTTGTTTCAGAATGAAAATTTTAATTTTTTTTTTTTTTTAAAAAAAAAAAAAAAAAAAAAAATTAAGGAATGATTTTAATTTTCTAAAATAGTCTTTTGAATCTCGGAATTAAATACTTTTAAAATAAAAAATAAAAATAATACTGTGAATTGTACATCAAAAAACAATATAATAAAACAGAATGAATTGTCGATTCATTCGATCCTTTTAGTGCCATTAGACAATCATACATTCATGCATTTCCGAACTGCAAAATGGGATCTTCCAGCGTATAGTATATGCATTGTGGGTATATAACTGAAATTTGCTTTTATTATTGTTGATCAAAAAAAAACTGTTACCTTTCTAGGAATTTTGGTCTCAAAATTTAGTTTGAAAGAAAAACAAAGCTAGCTAAAAATAGTAACGAAATAGATTTAATACGATTCCACTATTTCAATGTGACGAAATTATTGATTTCCGGTAATTTTCAATTCTCATCGGACAAAATTTCCCAGTTAAAATAATTTAAATAATTTACACACTTATGTAAATATTTGGTTACTGATTTTCATATGAGAATCGCGACTTTGTCTTAGATTAGGTCGGATTGAGAAGGCCACGGCTGGTATTCATTAAATAATCGTTAACTTTAATTGGTTCGACGAATCTTTACATATGGCTGAGAATACTACCATCTCATTGTAGGACCGATCGTGTGACCGGATTAATCAAAATAGATTTCCGGGGAACACGAATGATACCAAAATTATTCGGAAAACGAAACCAAAGATGCGAAAGTGGTGTAATGTTTGGATAATGTCCTGAATTCGTTCCGAATGTGACATTGACAAATAAATTCTGGGTTTTTCCATAAGGCATTTTCCGGCAAAATACTAACGAATGTAATGGCTTCTTGTCCTTTTCCTATATTTCATTCAAAGTTGGATCGAAATTTGAAACAACTTTTCTTAATATTCAGCATCATGTGTTGTATCTGTACATCCAAAAAAATAAGATATACGTACTGTCGCGTGGTATATATATTATACAGTATATAGTATAGAATAAGGAGCGCGTGCACAACTCAAAATATATATATTACCCTTACCAATAACTAATGTCAGTTTTAAGGTTTTGTTTTAAACCTTAGTTTTAACTCTAACATTGTGATATGCTAGAAGTCTATAATTTATCATTATTTAAATTTTAAATTGTAGTATTTTTATATTCACGTCATTTTTTTCGGTCCCGAGGGGCGTGACTATATAGGGGGCCGACTGTGTTTTTTCTTTTTAATTAATAGTATAATAAGAATGGATCCATTTTATGAATGAGTATAAATACTATAAAAAAAAAAAAAAATAGAATTATCATTTATAAAGATTTATTATTAATTATAGAATCATTGAGTTGTGATAAAATAGGATCTTAATTTCAAGAAAAAATTATAATTTTATATCAAAATTATTAAAGAAATTATTTGACTATTAATAATAATAATAAAATTATTTTTTTAATTTAAATTAAAAAGTTTAATAGTTATTTAATAAATATAAAAGTATTATAATAAATTATAATGAAGTTATAAAATCTAAAAAATCATGAATAAATTGCAAGATTTAAATGAAAATAGTTATTATAATTGATCATAAGGTATAGAATATATTATTATTATTATTATTATTATTATTATTTAATAAAATTAATAAAATTAATAAATTCAATTTTTTGTTATTTTTTATATTTACTTAAATAAAAATATTTAAAAAATTTAAATAATTTTAATTAATTTCTAATTTCTAATTATAAACTTAAAATTTAATCAAAATTTTAAAATTAAAGATTATTATTTATTTTACAATTATTTTTAAAGGTAAAATAAAATTTAGTAAAAAAAATTTATTTTACTAGTAAATATTTAAGATAATTAGAATTGCTTAAATATTTTATTAAAATAAATAAATTATATTATCCCTTTATATATTATTACACAGAAATGATATAAATGATCTAAATAATATAAATGACAAATTATAAAAATATCATATATTTATATATATTTTTATGAGATAATACTTATTTATTAATTAAAACTATCAATTATTAATACTTTTTTAAGTTAATTATAAATTAAACTTCATTATATTTAATCATTTATAATTTTAATTTAAAGAACTAATTGTAATAATATTTATTAATCTTAATTTATTATAATAAAAATAACAAATACGTAATATAAAAATTTTATTATTAATAATTAGAATTTTAATTTATATTTATTATATTAATTTATACAATCAATTCTTCTTTTAAAGTATTTATCATTGATTTATTATTTTTTAAAATTTTTATATTTAAATTTTTTATTTTTAATTATAAGATTAACTTTTTAATATTATTATTTTTAATTGTTGAATTTAAATTATTAATTAATAAATATATAGTATTTTTATTATAAAAAAGAATGAAATGTTAAAAAATTAATTTTACTTTATATTATTATATAATTTTTAAATTAAAATATATTTAATTTAAATTTATTTTTCTAATAGGTTTTTTTTTATTGAAAAGATTTCATATATAAATTAGAAGTTTTTATTGATTAGCAAAAATTTATTTAATAAAGAGATATATATAAAAATGATTTAATTGCAATATAATCTAAACTAAAATAATTTAATTAAATAAAGCTTAAATATTAAAAATTTTAAATTTTATTAATTAATAAGTTTTATTTTTTTTTTTTATTAATATTAATATTAAAAATATAATTAAATTAATTTATATAAAAATAAGTTTTTAATCTTCATTCTATAATACTATTTAAATCAGTTAAGTTTATTGATTATTTATTGTATTTTATAATTCTAATTGATTTAAAGATTTATGCCTTTTTTAATTCTAATTTAATATAAATTATTATAAAACTTAAATAGTAATAATTATATTAATAAAAAAATTAAACTTGACTTTTACTAATATATATAATATAATAAAAAAAAGTGGATATATTTTTATACTACATTTTTAAAACTAATATCAAAATTGTAAAATTTCTCTCTATATACAATCATCTTTTAGATAGTAATTGATAAAGTTTATAATTTTGAATTAATCACATTCGGTTTAAATTTTTATAATATCTAATTGAATGGCAAAATATTAAAAATTTTTTAACATTTACAGTAAGTCAAAAAACATTGGTCACACAACCTTGGATGACAAATCCGCATATATATTTCATATATATATGGTGGTTGGTGGTTTTTTTTTTTATTTTTATTGATTTTCCGATTTTCACGTTTTCCTAGATGATTTTTAATTTTCCTTTTGATTTAATAGTTAATATCCTTAACTTATTAACAATACAAGAAATAGTACAATTACGATTAGTTAATAAATCATATAATAAATTAATAAAGGAATACGGATTTAAATTATATTTTACCAATCAAAAATGGAACATAATATTATCCGATCCCACCATAGAGAAACGACATTCCTCGTCCCTTTCATCTGATAATTGGCAGCAGAAGGTTTCGTTCGGATATATTACACAACAGAATTGGAAGAAGAAGAAATTTTCTTCAACAGTTGTAACAAAATATCATGGTCAATCCTTAATTCCAAAATTGAAATTTGATAAAGAAAAGTTACTATGCTGCGTAGAAAATTTCATAGAGATATATTACTTTAATAAATATTCTTATGCGGATTTTAATCATAGGAAAAAGAGGTTCATGGCACATAATAACGACGTTACCGATATTTTAATAAGCGGAAGGAATGATGAAATATATACAAGTTCCGTGGATTCTACCATCAAAAAGTGGAATTTGAAGAAATTAAGAAATAATATTAATTATCGACAAGATTATTATAGTCGACCATATAATTTAACACCAAAAAAGACATTTAAAGGACATAAGAAATCAGTACAATCGATTTATATGTTTACAAATGATCCATTAAATTTATATTCAATAAGTTTTGATGAAACACTGAGAATATGGAACACCGAAACCACCCAAAGTCAACTTGAAATTCAATTACCTGGTAGACCGAGGGTTATTCGTGGATTGTCCTCAAATAATAATTTAATTGGCGTTGGGAATAGAAGTAAAGAACATCTTACGTTATATTACGTTACACCAAATGAACTGGTCAAATCTACGGAAATAAAGGGGCATCAAAGTACCGTTTATGATTTGGCTTCAAATCAAAATTTACCAAACACTTTTGTAACCGGATGTTATGATGGTGTTTGTAGATTATTTGATGTTAGAACCATGCAATGCGTTGCTTCTTATAGAGATCCTTACGATTATCATCCAGGTGTGTTAAACGATTCTTTTTTGGGAAAGGAAAAGGGATTATATTTGCGGAAATTAACTTGATTTGATTTGACTTTTCGTAGTGTTTTCTGTGGATTACGATGCTTATAGGATTGCAGCTGGTGCTTCAAGGAATGGTATAATTAGAATTTTTGATTTACGTTATAATAAAAATCATTATAATATTCACCAAGGAGTAAAGAAAGGCGCAAGAAATAATGATGGCTGGTCACTTTATCTTGGAAATAATCGTTCTCCTGTTTATTCATTACAGGTAATTCTTTTTTTTTTATTTTATTATTTAAAGAAATATTTCAGGATAATTTAACAGTTTTTTTTTAATTGATGTTGATAGATGGATCATTCAAAAATATTTGCAACATTATCAAATATGACGTGGATGTTGGATTTTTCCAAAGACATTAATAAGCATCAACGCCAAAACCATCATAAAATGAATGATGTTTCTTGTTTACATTATACCCATTCAAAAAAATGGTTGGGATTGGGATAAACAAAAGAAATCTTTTCTACAAAGAGATGACCTTAATAATACCTTCAGAATCCAAAGTTGAATTTAATCGTTACGTGAATTGTTGACAAAGGAGCATACGAAGAGAAAAATTATCGTAGATCAAATAATTAGAATTAATGAAAAAAGTTTCGATTTATATAAATTTTGAAATTGTGATAAAACTTTATATTTATTATAATTTAATTGTTTGTAAAAAAAATATCAATGTTTAATAAAATCGAATTCAAGTCGAAAAAAAAATTAGCAACCAATCAATATTTTTCTTTTCCACCATTTTAAAACTTTCAATAGTTTCGATGTCTTCCAACAAGTTATATAAGTATTGCTACTTCGAGCATGAATTTTTGCAGAGAATTATTTGAAAGAAACTCATTCATGACGAATGTAAATGTACTGAATTAGAAAACATTAATGTTTGTTCTCATCATCTTTTTAATCGTTTATGCATTGGGTTCAAATGGCACTTTGGAAACCTAAACTCAGACATTCATTTTTAAAAGACTTGTGAATGGTTTTCGTCTAAACTTTCATAAATAGGTGGCAACGTATGTCGCGAGATGTTTTCCATACATAAGAGAAATCTGTTGAAGTTTCAGTATGAATACCGAGAGCTACCAAAGAAAAAAAATGCTATTCTAAAGTTGATCTCTAGAATTTGTAAATAAATCATATAGTTTTTTATGGATATAAAAAAATAAAAATACAATTCTTTTTTTTATGTCGTTCAAAGGTTTATTTATTACTACTATTCATCAAATATATTATATATATATATTTTTTTTTTAAAATATTTTTCTTTTTTTTTTCAAGTCGTTCAACATATCAATACTTTCAACCTCTATTTTATGTTTTATAATAAAACCCGTAACATTTCGCAGATTTCTGACATATTTGAGAGATAAAATACATCTAAATCATTATTCATGCCTGAAGAGCAGAAATCTACAAGGTAATTAAATGAAAAAATTGTACAAAGGTTATAATTTTTGTTTTAAAAAAAAAAAATTTTTTTTCATTGAACGATTAAATAAATCAATAATGGTTGGAAATAAAGTATGAACTAACCAAAAGATGAAGTGAAATGAGAAAGCATTTATAAAGTTACCTTAACAGATAAAAGAACAAAAACGCTAGCTAAAGACAACAAGACTTACAAGTAAAACAATTTGTCAACTAATTGAATTAAATCGAGAAAATATGTCATATTCCTGGTAAAATAACACAATTGGTGTAACGTCATTTCTTTGTGATAAATGGGTGAAACTCGTATCATATTTCTCGAAGGTTAATAATTAACAGGTTTGTCAACTAGAATTTAATTAGTTAAATGTCCTTATCTGGTAATGAAGTGATGTTACATGATGCAAGATTCAAATTGATGATTTGTACTTCAAATTGCTCTCGATTTACCGAAAAGTGGCAACAAGACATTTGAATCAAACAATAATACCAATTTACAAAGTGTTGAATACAAAGCATGTAGCACAAAAAGATTGGCTAAAAATAAATAAAGAGAAAAAATGTACAAAGACGTTCATAAAGGAGAAATATTAATTTCAAGAATGATTGTAAATGAAATCTCTATAAATATGTCAGTAAACCGATTGTTCCTTGGTTTGGTTTTCCACCACTCTAACACCTAAAGCGAAAACACACTCTTTCTTTTATTCCCTGGAGGAAAAAAGACCAATATATTTTTTTTAAAAAAAAAAAAAAGATCTCTTTCGAGATAAAAAGTATACTTGGTATTTTAAAATCATATATTGGTCTTTTTGACGAAAAAAAAAAAAGAAAGATAAATTTGTTTTTATTCTTTCTTGATTTTTATTTCTTTTCCTCCAATACCCCCCCATCATCATTTCGAAGTAAAAAATACGCCTGGAGCGATTTTTCATCTATCATAAACTAATTTATTACATATTTTAATAATTAATTTCATCATTAAAGTATAAGCATGAGAGCTTCAAGCAAACTACTATTTTCAGTCTTGGGTTATTTAATATCAACTCGAATAATCATTTCTGCACCGATAGAAGAATTTTCCATATCAGAAATTACTTTACAAAGATCTTCCAACACAATTTCAAATTCTTATATAATAGAATTTGATAATTCTAATGATCAAGAAAAAGACCAAGATTTTGTTGCTTCATTTGCAAGAACAATTCAAGGTGAAGGTATAAATCATAAAATCAGAGAAACTTTTAATCCAAAGGTATTTAATGGAGCTTCCATTAAACTTGATGACGAGAAAGATCTCAATAAACTCAAAAAATTAAAAGGTGTTAAACGTGTTTGGCCCGTGGTAAGTAAACGTGACGCAGTGACGCAGCATTTCGAAGAAATTTTACTTACACATTATGTTTCCTAATTTATAGACAAAAATTCAACGATCCAAATTCAAGGTGGTAGAGAATAAATCAAATTCTTCAATTTTACACAGCAGTATTGGCGTCGTTGAAGCTCGCGAACAATTTGGAATTGATGGATCAGGAATTAAAGTTGGCATTATAGATACAGGTATAGATTATAAGCATCCAGCTCTTGGAGGATGTTTTAAAAAGGACGGTTGTAAAGTACAATTTGGTTACGATTTCGTTGGAGATGACTTTAATGGAACGAATGTTCCGAAACCTGACGATGATCCTTTAGATGAATGTGTTGGTCACGGTACACATGCAGCTGGTATTATCGCTGGTGAAGATTCGGCAAACAACGTAACTGGCATTGCTCCTAAAGTTACACTTGGAGCATATAGAATTTTCGGATGTAACGGAGAAACCACGAGTGAACTTGTTATTAAGGCGATGGAAAAAGCTTTTGAAGATGGAATGGATATTATTAATCTTTCACTTGTATCAGGTGATAATGCTTGGTTTGGAGGTCCTGAAAGTCTCGTCGCTGAAAAATTAACAGAGAATGGGTTGTTCGTTGTAGCAGCTGCTGGAAGCTCCGGTGATAAAGGAATATTTAAATCTTCGTCACCATCCACGTCCCCCGGTGTTATTTCTGTCGCATCCATTGATTCTGAACAAATCGATTCATTTTTTATTCAACCTGGTTCTAATTCTACTCGTAAAATTCAATATCTCACACAAGATGGAAATGCTATTGAACTTGAAGATTCCTTTTCAATTATTCCAACCTCAAATACTACAAACTCAAATGATGATGCTTGTGAATCAATTAATGAAGACCTTACGGGAAAAGTCGCTTTAATTCGTAAAGGAGGTTGTGAAGAAACAAAAAAAATCAACGTGGCTCAAGCTGCTGGAGCTACAGCCATCGTTCTCTATAACAACGTTGATGGAATAACAACACCCGAATTTGATCAAAATGGAATCATAATACCCGTTGCAATGATTTCTTGTAAAGATGGAATATTATTAATTGATGAAATTAAAAAAGACGATAATTTTACAGTAAAATTTCCAAGAGAAAGTACCTTGTTCGATAACCTAGACACCTTAAAAATTTCCGCGTTTAGTTCTTATGGACCCACAAATGAATTAGATATTAAACCTGATATTGCGGCACCCGGAAGTAACGTTTTTAGTACATTCCCAGTTTCTCTTGGATCATTTCAAACTTTATCCGGAACAAGCATTTCAACACCTTTCGTTACCGGTATTTTAGCATTAGTCATGCAAAATAAAGGAAAATCAAATTCAACCCTTGCTCGTGATATCCTTCAAAATAATGCTAAACCGCTTTTTATTAAAAATTCTGAAACAGAAGTAGAAGGAAATAAAACTTCCATCATAGCAACAACCATACTTCAACAAGGCGCTGGATTAATTAATTTAGTTGACGCGTTAACTTCAACGGTTATAATTTCTCCTGCTAAACTTGCGCTTAATGATTCAGCTCATTTTAATGGAAAGAAAAGATCTCTCACTTTAACAAATGTTGGTCAAGAAACAACCAAATTTACTTTTGATCATTTACCTGCTCAATCAATTACTGGATTTGATGGTGTGAACTTAGTTCCAATAGATACACCTTTTGCAACAAATTCATTTGCTAAAGTTAAATTTTCAAAATCGTCAATTCGTTTACGTCCCGGTGAATCTCAAAGTATTAATTTGAGTTTTACCCCACCTAAAGATTTAAGTGATTTAGACCATTCACTTTATTCTGGCTATATTGTTGTTAAAGATACCTTCACGAAAAAAGAATTTTACGTTTCTTATATGGGTATGAAAGGTTGTTTAGATACTTTACCAATAGTGGATAATCAATCTGGTGCTCCTTTTCTTCAGTCTGGTATAAATGATCAAAAGTTCTTTCTCCCCGAAGACGTTTTAACTGTAACTATGAAAGGTGATGACATTGCACTTTTTGGTGTCCGTTTTGCTCAAGGAACGAAGATTTTAACAGTTGACGTCATACCTGCTGAATCTGATGATGATGTAAAAGAACCTGCTGAACCCACTAAAGCTCCAACTGAAACTCAACCGACAAAACAGCCAACTAAAACTCAAACGACAGAAAAGCCAACTAAAACTCAAACGAAAGAAAAGCCAACTAAAACTCAAACGACAGAAAAACCAACCGGAACTCAACCGACAGAAAAACCAACCGGAACTCAACCGACAGAAAAACCAACCGGAACTCAAACGACAGAAAAACCAACCGGAACTCAAACGACAGAAAAGCCAACCGGAACTCAAACGAAAGAAAAGCCAACTAAAACTCAAACGACAGAAAAGCCAACCGGAACTCAAACGACAGAAAAGCCAACTGAAACTCAACCGACAGAACAGCCAACCGATGCTCAACCGACAGAAAAGCCAACCGAAACTCAACCGACAGAACAGCCAACTACTACACCTGATGAAGATGACGGAGGAATCGTTACAATAACAACAACTGTTACCACGACTCCAATCAATGTACCAACTGAAACGCCTCTTGCGAAAAGATCGATCAAAGCATATAAATTAAGAAATAATGAACTAAAATCAAGAGCATTTGATGAAGATACAACGAAATTATTGGTACCAAATTCTTTAGGCAAAATAACAAATAATGGAATCATACAATTTCAACAAAGAAACGATAATTCTGATAGTAATAATATCTTAACCTTACAATTTGATGGCACAATAGATAAATCAAATGGAGAAAAAGGTGTCGAACTACCGGATGGCAGATATAGATTGTTTTTGGCTGCTTTGAGGCCTTTTGGAAATCCCACAAAGAAGGATCATTGGGAAACGTTTACTTCTTCTATCATTGAAATTAAAAGAGAATAAAAAAATTGCTCAAAGGAGTCTTTGATTTATGGAAAATTTTTATTTATAAATTTAGTGTTTTCTGCTGCTTTATTTTTTTCCTACTTCTTTACATTCCCTTGTATAAATAGATACACAAAAAAGTTTTGTATATAGTTTTGTGTTTTAGTAATAGAGATAAAATTTATATGAATTAATAATAATGTAATGAAATCATCGCGATTATTTGGTTCAGAATTTATAAAGTTTACTTAATGAGTACGTGGGAAGTTAAACACGTTAGAAAACTTCATGTGACATGTTATGATTGAATTTTGGGCGTTATAATTTAAATTGGCAAACAATCTCGCGATATTCAAATCTCTATTTGAGAGTTCTAAGCGAACTTTACAACTTTACGGATACAAAAGAAACCTGTTTATTTATAATAATAAATTCTATTTAAAATATATTAAATTATAAAAAAAATTATCGTCTATCAAATTTCTAAACCTTTGTCACCATTCACTCATGTTACTAGTTCATTACTTATTTACTTTTTAATTTTTTCTAAATTTTCTTGGATTTTCTTAGTTTCTTTAATAATTTTAGCGAATTGACGAAAACTAATCGTTTTTTCGGATTTTTTCCAATTTTCAGGGAATCTCTCAAATTGATAAAAACCCTTCAAAGTATTTACATCAATTTCCACACCCATTTCATTTGCACTTCCGGTCAAACAATTTAATGTTAAAGAATATTCACCAAATACTTGAATTTTTTGCGAACGAGATAGTCCATGAAATTCGGGATTGTCTTTAAGAGATTGATCGCGTCTTTTGATAAATTGCCTTGCAAAACTATACTTTGTTAATTTATTAGTATCGTCTTTCTCTGAAATTAATGAATCAATTAATGCCGGTGAAACTTTTCTAAAATCTTCATTTAACTCGACATCGGTACGTGTTAATGACATTGAATGATTTATTGGATTAGTATGTAAATCGTCAAGGGTACTTTATTAAAACAAAAAAGAATTATCATCATTATTACAAGTTTTTGATTTTTAAAAAGAACATTTATTAATAAAAAAAAAAAAATGAAAAATTTTGATTTACTTACATTTTGATTTTGCCTATTTTAAATATAGCTCCGTAAGCTAAGAAGTACCCTACGGTTTTACCAAGATTCAATTGTTTGTGAGTTGCTGCAACCATTTGACCGGCTGTAATATTTTTTCCATCACGAGGTCTATAAACGGACGGATAATTAAATATTTGAGAAATTTGAAAAGTTTTCTTTTTTTTTTTTTTTTTTTTTTTTTTTTTAATAATTGGAATAAAAGCTTACAGATATCCGTGATTAGCGAGCGCATTTAACGCAGGACAAGGTGATCTCAAATCATTAGGTCCCGGAGCTTGATAATCATGATTTTCCATCTTTGTTTTCTTCAAAAGAATTTTTTTTTTAAAAAAAAAAATAAAATAAAAACGTCTTTATTTATAAATCCAAAAGCGTAATACACCCCCAAAATGGCTTTATAAAGTTCATGAACTTATTTCCTAATTAATAAGTACAGTTTGCTGTCATACTGATCGACAACAAAGTGCCCTTCTTCTCCTTCTTCTATAGGAAAAGGTAAATTATTGTTTGTTTAAAATACAAAGTCACATTCGTTGTTAAAGAAATATTCGCAAGCACAAATTTAATTATGTATTGCCCCAGAATGGCATCATTACAGGTATTATGATTCTACTCCCAAATTTAGTAAGGAGGCGATGCATTGAACAACCAATCGAAATCGTGATTTTTGAAATTAAATCACGTGATATAAAAAGCCTATCATATTAACTAATTGGCGTGTGATCATAATAATGTAATAATAAAATAATATATTTCAAAATGTATAAATATATAAAATTTTTACAATTAACAAATTTTCTACTTTATAATATTATTTTCCATCTCATTTAAATCATTCTCACATGCATTTTTTTAGTATCTTCTTTAATGAATTCTTGTTTACCCAATTTTTTTTATAAGAGCATTGATATTTTTTGAAAATACCTTAAACATTTCAAATATTTAAATTAGCATTTTTGTAAATAATAATATAATAATTAGTATTAACAATTAATAATTAAATCAATTAAACAATTGTATATAGTTTAAATAGTTCAAATAAATAATTAAACAATTGAATTTAATCCAATTATTAACTATTATTTTAACCAATTAAAATGTATAAAATAATATATAAATAATTTATAAAAGGCTTAAATATAAATCTTATTTATTAATTTTCATTTATGACAAAATTATTAATTAATAAATATATGTATAATATTGATCTGTTAAGATATATTTGATATTTAGTTATAATTAAGCCTAATTTTTTAGCTGTTAGCTAATTTGATAAATTCAGTAGTTAAAATTAGCAGTCAAATACCAATATTGTATTAAGTTACAATTTTAAAATTTTATTTAAAAAAAAATATAAAAATTATTTTTCTGAAGGAACTTAGTTTTTCTTAAACTCACTTTTTATCTTTTTTTATATATTTTATATTTTTATTATTTTATTATTCTAAATTTAATTTAGAAATTTGATTGAATTCTTAATTGGATTAAGTTTAATTGTAAATGTAATTGTTAATTAGACAATTAAATATAGTAAAATTTTAAAAAATATTTAATTAGATAATTAGATAATTAGTTATAGTAAAATTTTAAAAAATATTTAATTAGATAATTAGATAATTAGATACAATTGAATTATATCTAATTATCTAATTATCTAAAATTATTTAATTTATCAATTAGAATAAATTCAATTCTAATATTAATAATAAGCATACCTATATATGAGAATGATATTATTAATCAAATAATTAGTATATTTATAATATAAATAATACAAAGAGTGATAGTATTTAGTTTTTTAATAAAATCTCTTAAAAGATTAATTTATATGTATTAATACTATTGAATAATAATTTAATAATTAAAAAATATAAATAATGCACTTAGTATATTTTTGTAAATATATTCAAAAGTTATATAATATACTTTTAAAGAAAAGTATTTAATTATTTTAGTATATATAGATATTTAATAATATAATACTTAGTAAAGTTAAAAGGAAAAATATATTATTTTTAAAAATATTAAATAGTAAAATACAAGTTAATAAGTTTACTTGAAATTAAAATGAATAACATTATTCCTTACAGTTTATTAAACTTATTTTTAAACTGTTGATTTCTCAAAAATATAGATTTTAATTTTATTCAGAAAGTAATTTTATTAAAAATATAAATAATTAATTACAAAAATTCATTAAATTTATTTTTTTAAAGTTTATCTAAAACTAATTTCAATAGTTACTCCTTAAATACCTTTTGAAATCTCTCTAATATTTTTCTTTTAAAAATATCTTTCATTTTTGTATTTTTTGTATTTTTGTGTATTTTTTCTGCAATTTTATTATATTTCTTTCTATTTTTCTATTTTTCTATTTTTTTTAATATTTTATTCTTATTTTGTATCCTAAGTATAGTGTTACATAAAAGAAAACATAGATAATAATGATCAAAAAGATGACATTGATTACTAAAAAATTATATATATCTTATATATCTTTTATATTATTTATAATATATTTATTTTATACAATATATTTTATTTATTTATTTTATTTCATTTATATTATATATTTATTTTATTATATTTATTTCATATATTATATTTATTTATTTTATTTCTTCAATAAATTTATGTATTTTATTTTATATAAATAAAGAATATTTTTTTAATTTGATAGTATATCTAATAAGTAGTTTTATTAAATAGTTTACTTTAATCTTTTTAATATACTTGTATAATATAGAATGCTAACTAAGGTAATACTTTATTGTTATCATTATTAAATAAACTGTTAATTGATTGATATTCTTCTAAAATAATTATAAAATAAACCTTCTGCTTACCATTTATAATATTGCTTTACTTAGCACTTATAAGTAACCTAAAAGAATTTACTATAATAATAGCTAATTATTTTATTATTATATTATTATCTGTATAATTATTTATATTACTATTTATATAATTAATTATATCTTTAATTATGCTAAAATATCATATTTTATACTTTGTATTAAATAAATTTTTATTATAAATTTGTTTTATAATTTATACTTTACATCTGTTTTTATCTAATAAATGATATTTAATAAATAATATAATAATAATGTTTACAAAATGTTGCTTAAATTATTTTTATTCTGCTATTAAAAATAAAATATGCTTTTTTTTTGTAGTTATTAAGCTATAAAAACTTAGTAAAATATTATTATATAATACTATAAATAAGTTTAATAGAATAATTGCTTAAAGATTAAAATTAAAATAATTATATTGAAAATTAAATAATTAGTTTTTATTTAATAAAATTATTAGAGAAAAACATTTATAAAATATATTTTTTTTATAAGTAAACTAATTACTTTCTTAATAATATATTGTGTAAATATTAAAAATCAAATTATTTAATAAATTTGTTAAATATAAAACTTAATATTTTTGCTTAAATAATTTATTTTTAAAAAAGCAAACTCAGATATATTAGTTCTAATATAAAAATTAAACAAAATATTATCTTTTACTTTTTAATTCTCAATATAAAAGTAAAATTAAATATTAAAATATAAATTATAATAATAAAAGTAATTTAAATATATTTTTTATTTTAATTTTTTACTTTATTACTAATTTTTTGAATTTTATATTGTAGAGTTACTTTATCTTAGAAAAGTTCTTTAGTAGAATATAATTATTTGTATTAGTAAAAGTAATATATATATAAAATTTTATAGATATAAGTTAAATAGAAATCTAGTATTATTAAAAAAATTTTATATTAATATAATCCAATTTTTCTAATTTTTTTTTAGTTTTATTTAAAATAAGTTATATTAGTATATCATCAATTTTATGTCTTTTTGTTTTATTTTTTTATTGAGTTTAAGAAGAATTTCATTAAAAATACTGACTTATATTCAAGATTTTTTATTAATAAAAAGGAAGATTTTTATAATTAAAATTTTTTATAATACAAGAAATTTTATTTTTATAAATAAATGATAGAATCATTTTTCAGTTTCTATAGCCTTTATTATATAAAATATAATAATTTTAGATTTTCTTTTTTATGATCAGATAAAAAACTATATGCTAAAACTTTAAAAGACTTTATCTTTCAAAAAGTTTAATTTTATTATCATTTTAAATGTCTTCAAGATCATAAGATTTAAAAAATTACTGTAAAGTAAGACAGTCATTTTTTTATTATTTTATTAAAAATATATTTAAGGCTTTATCTTATTTCTTATATTAATATAATTCATGTTATTTTTTAAAATTACTTAACTAATCATCTAATTAATGAAAATCTTTAATAAAAAACCTTTTTACAAAAAATGCTACTTTAACCTTTAAAATATTACTTTTAATATCTTATTTTGTATTTAAATCTAAAGATTAAATATATTTTTAAGTTAAAATCACTATAAATTATAAAACTTTTTAATATTCTTTAATTTCAATTAGCATTTCTTATTATTTAAAATATACAGTGATTATTAATTTGTTAATATTATAGCTTTATATAAGATTAACATCAGAAAAATTTGATTCCTTTTTTATATTTTACAAATTTTTTATTTTTATGTAGCAAATGTATAGATTTTTTTTTTGTTAACATTTAAAAAAATAGTAAATAGATAATCATGATAAATAAGATTATTATATAATATTTAAAATATTTATATATAGGACATGCTACAAAATCAAAAAAAGTAAATATTCTATTATATGATATAAATGAGAAGTTGATATGACTGAAAATTAACTGATTTGATTAATAATTTGACTATGATTTAGAATTACATTTTAATTAATCTATATTATGTCAAAAATATAAATAATACTCAATTAATCAAAATAAACTTTTACCTAACATTATAAATTATAACATATTCTAATAATATATAATTATCTCTATCTATAAAAATATTAATATAAAACTAATTTACATCAAATCCACCATGAAACTAAAAAATTACAGCATAATTAGAAGTATTTTAAAGAAAACTTAAGAAGAAAAAATTTGCATTAAAGATGGTCCCCATAATTAATTTAATAATATGTTATAATTGTAAAATTTTATAATTTTGTTGCAACATTTGTTATAATTTGTTATAATTAAAATTATGTCATAACTTAAAAAATAAGGTATAATTAGTCGCAACTTAAAGCATAAGGCATAATTTGTCATAACTTAAAATATAAGTTGCAACTAATCGCAACTTAAAGTATAAGATACAATTAGTTGCAATTTAATATATAAGGCATAATTAAATTGCAACTTAAAATAAGTTGTGCATCATCAAATGTTATAAATGTTATAATTGTCGCAATTAAAATCATATTAAATAAAATGGTGCAATTGATAATCAGTAATTTATCATTTCTAATAAAATAATTGATAAACAGGTTATAATATCTGATAAAATGATTGATAATCAATTATTTATATCTGATAAAATTTTTTGATAATCTTTAAATTATTATTTTTCTTTTAAAAAAACATGAATAAAGATTCTTTAAATTTTTTACTATTTGCAGATATCAATGAAATATCAAGTCTTTCTTCAAAAGATACTAGTGAAAAAAATGATAGTAAAAGTAAAAAAAAAGGAGGTGGTAGAAAATTTACTTCAGTTTGGGAACATGTAATTAAAGGAATAGAAATATCTCATGATCGCTATAAAGCTACTTGTATATATTGCCAATATGAATGGTCTGAAGGTAGACCACAAAAAATGCGTCAGCATTTAGCTTCTCATTGTGAAAAATGTCCTGAAAATATAGCACATATATTTGCAAAGGAAGTTGCAAATGAAATAGTTATTTTAGATAATGAAGAAATATTAAAAAATAATAAAAAACGAATAAAAGTTGATTCAAAACAAACAAATATGTATCAACATTATGATAATAGTAAAATAACAAATAGTAGACAAAAAATAATAGATAGCACGTTAATCAAAGTATTTGTTTGTTGT